TCTAGGACCAGATCCTGCTGGATGATGGGCATCCCTCGCTCCCACTGAATGCAGCAAGGAGACAGTGTGCTCAGCCCTCGGCAGCATCATTCATCCGGAGGAAGGGTGTAGGGAGATATTTGGTACCTTGCAGCCAATTGGAGCAGAGGTGACACTGAAAGGGGGGTGCTTTCAGCTCCTCTCTCCACCCATCCTCCATAACACCCCCCTCCCTGTCACCACTGCCGCCGCCATCCTCCTCACACACAAAAGCAGTGCAATTAGCTGACTTAAGAGAGCCGAGGCTTAGCCAGCTGCAAGCGGAAAATAATAATAAAATACCTTGGAGGGGAGGGAGGCAGCAGAGGAAGCAGCAGCCATGGAAGAATACAAATAACTGCCCTCAATACCCACCCTGCCCCCAGCAAAATCCAAATCACAAAGCAACGACTGCTGTAAGAAAGGCCGACCTAGATGCATCCCCACACTCCTCCGCTGAGAAAGCCGCACGCATCTGCATCCGGATCCAGGCGCTGGACCTCCTGAGCAGCCCGTCTCCGTCAGGAGGAATGCCTGGCTGGGATACAGGCAGGATCTTCTTTGTTCCTCGTTAGCCACAAGCATCGGTGAGTACAGCATCATCTGGGCTTCCATACTGCTGGGCAATATTTGATATTGAGAAACCTCAGACTCCAGCCTGGGATTTGCTTCAGCATCCTTCATTGCTCTTCCTCCCTCCATGATACCTTCAGGGTTAGCAGAAAGCAGATGACAGTGGTGGGGAGGGGGGAGGGAAGGTGGGGTCTCTCTCAGCCCCAAGGTATCTCCTTCACCTGCATTTAGGGAAATCAAAAATAGAGACATGTGTGGCCGTGTCATGGGCATCGCATGCAGCCAGGTCCCCCGGTGAGGACAGAATACATAACATGTGTGCTGGGAGGAAAGGCTGAGAGACACCGGGCAGGGAGAGCACCCTGCAACGTTCACAGCCAGCTCTTCGCTCTGATTCCTATCTCTGCCAGCGCCTGTAATAAAGACGGATGCTGGATTTACTCAGGCCTCTACGTAGCTTCATTCCTTTAAAGCAGATACACACAGACAGATTTATCTCCCTCCAGATCATCATTAGCGATACCCTCTGTAAATACAAGACTCCAAAGGAAGCAGAGAAAGCACTGGCTCTCTAGAAGAGCCTTACAGCAATGGGTCAAACTCTGCTAGATGCCGATTTCCCCAACACCAGGGGACAGAGTAGCCCCATCCACTTGGGAAATCACCCTAGGTCCCTAAAAAAAACCCCCATGTTACTATCCAGCCAGTGCCTGGTGAGCTCAGGAAGAACATTCAAAACCATCCTGCAGTGGATGGGTTAATGCATGGGCCCAACACACAAGCTGATTTCACTTGAACAAGTTCTATAAGGCCTGACCTTGTCCCCTCCGGGCTCAGGTGCTACTAAGCTCAGCTGCAGCAGCATCCAGCTGAGAGCAGCGTATCCGCTCTCTGACCAGAGCTGGTCCTGCAAGGACTGGTCCTGAGCCCTCAGCCAGACTTTGTTAGGAGCTGCAGGTGCAGTCCCTGGGAAATAGGTACAAAGGTATCATTTTTGCTGACTGGCAGCATAGGAACCTTCTAGTGAAGGCAAACAATATATATGGTCCTAAGGGCCCCTCACGCTGTTGGGGTGTTCATATGAGCAAAAACAAGGCTTGCTGGATTTGAACTTCTGTTCATACCAGTGCAGGACAAAGCCCAGACTGGGAGCAGCACACCCATCTTGCCTCCATTTGAGGTGCTCCAGTTTTTTGGCATCTGCTTTGGTTTACCTGGGAGCAAGGCAGAGATGTGAATTCTTCGGGGGAGTGGAAGGACATTCAGCATCCCTGTGAAGGCCTCCTCATGCTCCTCCATTTCTCCCTGGGTGTGGGGACAAGCATGGGAATGGAGCCTAGGCCAGGCAGCAGTAGTCAGGAATTTCTCTTCAAAACCAAAGCCATTAACTTCTGCCCAGGCCAGCAAAATAGAAACTGGTGCTACTGCCAAACCAGGCTGAAACAAGCTTGGGAGGAGCTCACTCTTCTCTTCCCTTTCAGCCACACTTCATTTCCCTCAACAGAGGTGCTTGTTTATGTTGAGATTAGAATCAGAAGAGAAATAGCAAGAGAAAAACAGGTGGACATCAGCCCAGACAGTGTTGATCCTCAGGGAGAAGAGCTAAAGTCACAAGAGAGCAGAGCTATACCTTTTGCTTTGATCCAGGGACAACCTCACCTCCTCTTTCTTGTCCAAAGCGTGTCAAGTAGCCACAAAACCCCATGTCCTTGCCTTGTTGCTTTTGCAAAACAAGCAGCTATCACACTGCTGCTCTGTGGAGAGAAGTATAGTATCAGCATACCCGCTCTGATTAAACGCTCCCCAGTCATGATGCGCAATGCCAACCTCTCTGTCTTCCACCTTTCAGCCTGAGCCCTTCCTCGAGGGAACCGCTGTATAGCCAGCCACTCTCTGAGCACGATGGGAACCACAGAAGCCACTTTGCGGATGGAAAACGTGGATGTGAAGGAAGAGTGGCAAGACGAGGACTTCCCCAGGTTTGTCCCCTGCAAAAAAAAGCCAGGGAGAATTTTATTTCTTCCTACAAGAAACCAGCAGGGCATGAAGCATGCAGGTCCCTCCCTCCAGCCCCAGAGGCAACAGGAATCTTAATTCCAACAGGGCAATTTTGGCCAGAGAACAGAGCTTTTGTAGCAAGGCTGCTCTGAATGCTGCAAAATTTTTGGGAGGCTTCTGGCAACCCTCTGTGAGCATGCCAAGGAGAGGGTAAGGAGCTGGGTGCAGAGGACAGGGAGATTAGTATGGATGGATGCATATAGGGATGGATGGACGGACTCCTTCCCAGTCTCTGGATCAAGCAATGTCTCCCTGAACAGAGCAATGCTGCTTTGCCAGGAATTTGCCACAGGAAGCAGAATCATTGGGATGCAATGACCGCTGGCACTGACGTGCAAAATCTGAATGGTTGCAAACCTTGTAAGAAATGATGTGTGGGTGACAAGAAGGTGCCAAAGTGGCAGCTTTCACCTTCATGCTTTACTAACTGCACAGACTGCCAAAAAAAACCCCAACACGTAAACTTAGTGTGCGCTGAACTCCCTGCAGCCACCCAAAGGGTGCACCCACCCTCACCCCCGCTAGCAGCACTGCCCCGCACATCCAGCACTAACGCCCATGGCCCAGCAGCATCTCGTGTGGCCAACACCAAGCCTTGCTGCAGCTGGGGTCCAGGCTGCTGAGAGGCTTTTCAGGGCTGTCTCGCTCTATCCCAGCTGCAGCTGAATTCCCCCGAGCAGCCCACAGAGCCCCTGTATTCGCAGACAGTGGCACAGTATGCCATGCGGGTGGGCATGCACAGCCCCTGCCATGCTAGAAAGGGTCTCCTGTTTGCCTCGGCACTGGCAGATGAGCTTAGCTCTGTTTACCCCGGGTCCAGCTGCATCACTAATCTAAGCACCTCTGTCCAGCAGCCCAGCACCCGGCTCACAGGGCATGGCTTGTCCTTCCGCTGGCCCCAGAGGTGGGCTCAGCCAAACCCCTGGGTTTCTAGGATGGATTTTTCTTTCCTCTGAGAGCAGAGCTGGGTAGAGCTTTGGGCTGATGGACCTCTGCCAGCCTAAGGCTCCTCCAGAGCGCTCTGCTGACAGGCTTTTAATTGAGTAGAAGGGAAAGCGAGGTACAGAAAAGAAAACATTGACCCAAGGCTCCCTAGAAAATCTGGGGACAAAACTGGACTAACATCTGGACACACATGCACTAACCCACACTGTCATGTTGGAGCAGGAGCTGTCAGGCTTTTTTTTCACACTTGCCATACAAGCAGCAAACTTACCCCAGTCCCAGCCAAGCCTTCAAGTAGCATTTCTTCTGCAGCACCCACAGCACCAAACAAGGACAACATCGTGTCTGCCTAGCAAACGAAGCACAGGGACAGGCAAAGAGATGTGACCATGGCTGGGTGGCAAGCCAGTGGCAGGGGCCTGGCGGGGGGGAAAAGCCAGTGGCAGGGACAAGGCCAGAGCCTACAAACAAGCTCCTCAGCCTGCTGATAGACCGCTGCAGAGGTATTAAATCAGGAATAAAAAAATAAAAGCCCTAACAGCCACAAGGCAAATGAGTGCTAGCTGTGTTTAAATGGCATTAAAAATAAATAAATAATAATTTTCAGGACACTTCCCCCAGAAGTGTTAAAATAATAGGGCAGAAGCTGCTGCATGTGGGACAGCAGCTCTCTAGCAGATGATTTGCTGCATAGCTATTTTTGCTTAGCTGTGATTAACCAATCTTGCCACAAAAAAAAAAAAGTATCCTAGACAAAGATCTGGGCTGGGGGAACGGAATTCAGCTGCTCATTAAGGACACAAGGCAACATCCCCACCCCTCCCCGAGAAGCTGGTCTGCAGAACAAGCTCCTGCCTTGTAGGTTGCAAAGGTGCAATGCCGAGGCACTGAGCAAGCGGAGAGGAAAGGGTCCCCACTCCTGCTGCTCCCTGAAGGTTTAGCCTCCTGCTGACAGTCTGTCTCAGCTGTTTGTGCAAGTGCTGCCCTGCGATGATGCTGTAGCGGTGCCCTGGGGCGGATGCAGGAGCATGCTCACTCCATCACGCATCCATCGGATCACGGGCGGTGAAGGCTCGGGGCTGGCTGAGGCCTGAGAAAAGGTGCTTATAGAGGGGAAGCTGGGCAGCACGCTATCAGCAGAAAGCAAAATGGTGGCACCCGACCCTTAGCAAACCTGCTTCATTCAGAAAATTTGGCATCTGGGGCTAGCTACATTTGGGAAGGAAGATTTGCACAGGAGACTGGGAGGTAGTGATTCGACCATCCTTTGGGAAGGTAAGAAAGCCCTTTTCTTCACCTCTGACTCTTCAATTGCTTTTCTTAGATGAATCCTAGCATCAGAGAGCAAAGTGCCTGACTGCAGCACGTACTCGGGTACAGCTGGGCCTTTCCCCCCCTCTTTTGATGCTGTATCACCCGGTTGTGCCAGGCGCCAGCTCTGTCAGATAAACAAGCAGCCAGACCCTGTTCAAGACAAAAGCAAATGGGAGGAGGAGAGGCTGAAGGGGGACAGAGGATCTTTCTGACTGCTCAGGAATATTGTGGCTGCCCACAGGGTCTGGGTGCTGCATGAGCCTTTGATCAGGTCTCCAGCTCTCATAAATATACAATAACCAGCTAAGAGAGGATTATCCTTTAATCTAAATATTTATAGGGTTTAATTTGGCTGGTGGCTCTGGTGTCATGGCAGCTCGAAGAGGAGCCTTTGTAGGGCAGAGTTAGGCTGTATCCTCCTGTGGACTTGCAGGCACCAGTCCCCATCATCTCCCTCCCTGCCATCGCTGGACCGTAAGGCCAGCAGCTGCTGGACCTCCTCCCTGCACACAGTCCCATCCCCATTCTTACAGCACTGCCTTAAAACTGCTGGGGTTTCCCCCACATTTCACCCCAGGGCTGTCCCAGCACTCAGGATTTTACATCTGGAAGCACGAGCTCTTCCCCCTGTTGAGGGGGGAGCTTCCAGCAAGGGGCAGGTGAAAAGGATGGCTCAGAAGGTCCCTCTGAATGAGGCTTTCGACAACATGAACTGGCCATGGGGTTGGTGGGGTTTGGCCATGCTGTGCAAGAAGTTTCAAACCCAGCTAATGCCAGGGGACAGGCACAAGTCCCAGCTCAAATTAAGGGGAAAAGTGTCCAGAAAGCGTCTAGCTCAGGGCAGGCAGTGTACTGCTCATCCACCCGCTAGCTTTCCTCACCGCAGTATTGGGGCCAGATTCTGACTTCACTAACCCCAGTGAGGGTCGGGAACAACTCTGGCAACTTCCAAAGGGTGACAGCCATATAATGAGATTGGACATTAGTAGGAAAGCCAACTTCTACATCAATTGATGCTTCCAGTCTCCAGCTGGAGGCACAGCAATTTATACCAAGAGGATGCAGGAGCCAAGCAGGAGAAGCTGCAAACTTTGGCCTGGGCCGTGGAGCCCCAGAAAGGGAGCGGTGGGTCAGCCTTTGGGCTCTGAAATAGGGGTTTGAGTGCTGGTGCCTGGATCTTAGCTCAGAATGAACCTGCTTCCAAACCTCAGCAGGGTTTGGGTATCACTGTCAGCTTTTGTCAAACAGGGGCTGAGGTGAGGATGGAGTGACAATTCTGGGATCCCACTGAAGGTTTGATCCTTGCCTTGAACACCGACTGCCTTAGAGCAAGGCAGCTGCCTCCCGGGAGAGGTGGTTGTGGCAGGTACTATTGGATAAAGTTTTGCTGCGCTGCAGCTGGGGCCTGTGGCAGAAGGCAACTGCAGAAGATGTTCCCTGGCACCCCTGATGAGGAGCCCTAGAGCTTGCCACTGCCTCTCAAACTTCTGACGGAGGTAAAAATGGGGATAATATGGAGAGAGTGAGGATGTTACCCGGCTCTTCTGGGGACAGGATTTGTTCCCATGGCCCTGAGCAGGATTTTCCAGCCTCTTGCCTGAATGGCAGCATGAGAGATGTATTGGGGGCTAAATGCAGGGATAGTTTGGGAGTTACTAGGGCTTGCACAGTGCTCCAGTAAGAAAGCACAGCTGCTGGGCTGCTCATGGGCAAGTCACCGGAGGGCATACCTCAGGCTGAGCTCACGGGCAAAAGGGAAAGGGCAGAGCACACATGGGGATTGTACATTTTTCCCTGATGTTCCCAGTTCTCTCTACCGCCTGCCACGGAGTGGCTTTCTCCTCAACATCACCTGTTATCTCCTGTCTTTTTACTTCTGCATCTTGGCTTGCCTGCAGACCTCTTCCAGAAGAGACGGGGATGGAGTCGCTGGGCAGCCCTACAGAAGACGAGAATACATCCTGTAAGTACCAGCCTGCCTAATCAGGATCTCAAAGGAAAACAAGTCTATGGGAATGTCAGCTTGCAGTTAGGGTGAAAGCCAGTTCCCTTGGACTATCTGCAAAAACTCCCACGTGGGAGAGGAGACCAGCAGATATTTGAATTTGCTAATCTTTCACAAGAAGCTGGGGGAGGAAATAGGTATCTCAGAAGTGTGGGCACTTTTATCCAGCCATACCTGCAGGCGTCCAGTACCTCCCAGCTATGATCCACCACCCTTAGCTTCCAAAACCATAGCCTGAAATATGCCTAGTGAAAGTACCATGTCTTGCACTAAGGATGCAGGACAAGGACAACTTGTCAGTTATTTTCCTTTTAACTCCAGCTCCCCCAAATACTTTAAACTTTAATGGGGCGCATCGTAAGCGGAAGACACTTGTTGCACCTGAAATCAACATTTCCCTGGACCAGAGTGAAGGCTCCATTCTCTCCGATGACTTCCTGGACACACCAGATGACCTGGACATTAATGTGGATGATATTGAAACTCCTGATGAGACAGATTCTCTTGAATTCCTGGGGAATGGGAATGAACTGGAATGGGAAGGTAAATGGCCGGTTCTGGGTGAATGTCTGCAGGGGCTGGGGCTTTTTTTTGCTTTCTGTTAACCACCTTTGACACCACTCAGCATCAGCAGCTGAGGACTGACTTCCTCAACAGTGAAGCACAGCACACAAAACCAAGACCCATCTTTCACACAGTGTCTGCCCCACCAGGACCCCAGCTATAGCTCAGGAGTCTCCGTGCTGCTATCTCAGCGCCTCCATGTGGGTAGAAGTAGTTCAGGGACTTGCAAACACTGTTTTAGCCATAATTCAGGATAAGGCATAAGGCTGTGGGCACACATGCCCTGCCAGCTGCAGCTGGGCTACCACCCCAGGCTGGGAGGTGTCGCCTGCTCAGCTCTGCCAGTAGAGCTATTACATGAATGTTCCAACACCTTGAATAACATGGTCTTTGCTAACCTGGCTGATTTTGACTGAATCAGGCTAAGAAGGACTCATGCAAGCAGCTCTGCTAGCAGATCAGAAGACAACCAGCACAGGCAGTGCCCTCTTCAGCCAGTATAGATGGATCAGAAGGGAGATCCAGCAAAAAGTCCAGTGCCCAATCTGTGACTGCAGGTACTATACACAGCATGAGATGTTAAGCTTATTTCTATTACAATTTGGCAATGGAGTAAGGTTTTTAAGAACCACAAATTTACACAGATCAAAGCTGCAGATGAAACATGATCCTCAGCCCATGGTTGTTACTGTCTCTTATTGCACACCAAAGTTCTTGCAGAGCCTCTTCGTACATTATAGAATAGAATCATAGAATTATTAAGGTTGGAAAAGACCTCTAAGATCATCAAGTCCAACCGCCAATCCAACACCACCAAGCCCACTAAACCACATCCCGAGGTGCCACGTCTACATGTTTTTTTGAACACTTCCAGTGATGGTGACTCCACCCCCTCCCTGGGCAGCCTGTTCCAATGCCTGACCACTCTTTCAGTGAGGAAATTTTTCCTAATATCCAATCTAAACCTCCCCTGGCACAACTTAAGGCCATTTCCTTTCATCCTATTGCTAGTTACCTGGGAGAAGAGACCAACATCCACCTCACTAAAACCTCCTTTCAGGTAGTTGCAGAGTGCAATAAGGTCTCCCCTCAACCTCCTCTTCTCCAGACTAATTATATTAAACGTAGAAATGTTTTTTTCCTTTTCCAGATGACACTCCCGTAGCCACAGCCAAAAACATGCCTGGGGACAGCGCAGACCTGTTTGGGGACGGTGGTACAGAAGACGGGAGTGCTACTAATGGACGGCTCTGGAGAACTGTCATCATTGGAGAGCAGGAGCACCGCATCGACCTCCAGATGATCAAACCCTACATGAGAGTGGTGACACACGGAGGTGAGGGGGAGGGAGGCCTAATCCTGGCTTGCTGGATTTATTTCAGTCCACCTTTGTCAAGCTGGAGGGGATGCCATGACTGATTGCGTTGACTGTCTTTAGGGAAACATTGCTAGTTGTTTTGTACCACTATGTGGCAGATAAGCACAAAAGCACTCAGCTCATGCTAAAAAGCGTATAGCAATGTTTCAATAAACAAAAGTAGGGATAATGCTGGCTCTGAGCAAGACCGAATATACCCTGACCCTCAGCCCTGGCTGTGGGCAGAGTTGCCAGTGATGAAGGGACTGCAGGTGCTTAATCCCTCTGTAGCTTGGTGCCTGAGCTGTCTCTGGAGGCACAGCTAAAGGACAATACATCCTCAGTCCGTGACCATTTCTGAAATCTGAGCAAAGCCAAGCAACAGCACTGGGCAGAGCTCTCAGCTCTGTGGTTTGACACACAAATTCCTTCCCTGAACCCCACATGCATGTTATAGCCAAAACCAGGATCAGAGGCAAATCTGATTGTGAAAGAGGTCCCTAAGAGGGACAAACACTTACCTAGAGCTGAACAGAGGCTCAAAAACCGGTCCAGGCCCAAATCTGGCAACACATCTTCACTATTTTTCCTTCAACTCTTGTATCTCCCCCTGGAAGGAGTCACTGATGCTGCCTGACTCTTTCTTTCCCAGGATACTACGGAGAAGGTCTCAATGCCATCATTGTCTTTGCTGCCTGCTATCTCCCAGACAGTAACCTGGCTGATTATCACTACATCATGGAGAATCTCTTCCTGTAAGTGTCTGGTCAAGGTCTATGAGGGAAAGGAGGGCAAAGAAGGTAACTCGAGCTCTGGGGAAGCAGTTTCCATGTACTCATTGCATCAGGAACCACAGCTGGAAAAAAGCTTGAATCCAGGCCAAACATACCCAGTGTGCAGCTGCAGACTGGAGCAAGTGTCGCTGGGTAAGACACTGTCCACAGCACTTGCATCTGAGTCCAGTAAGTCAAAGCATTCAAACATTCAGTGTTAATTATGCCAGTGATGGACTCCTAACTAGGCTAGGGCATATGTATACAACACTGACCAGCTGGTAGATGCTACTGCTAGGCAGAAGAATGGCACAGGGATGTCCATCAGTGTATGCACTATGCCAACACGTACCAGTGATCCCTTAGAAATCCCCATATGCATCCTACGGAGGTGCCAGGGGAATCTGAAACCCTTTCCAAGGTCTACAAAGAAAGGGTCTGTAGGCCTTTTGGGGTGACACACAGACACTTGAAGAAAACCTCAATTGACCTTTTTTGAGTCTCATGTCCCCACTGCCTTTGATCACCACCCAACAGATACGTGATCAGTAGTCTGGAGCTGCTAGTGGCTGAGGACTATATGATCGTATACCTCAACGGAGCAACACCCCGGAGGAGGATGCCAGGCCTTGGCTGGCTGAAGAAATGCTATCAGATGATAGACAGAAGGTGAGAATCCTGTTAGCGTTGCCTCTTTATTCTTCATGGTCCTCTTCCCCTGCTTCCTCACAGCATTCCCAGCCACTTTCCTCATGCCCTGGATTCTGTAATATCTTCCTCTGTCACAGCTGTCTGACTTACTCCAGGCTCTCTTCATCACCTCTTCTCCTCTCATATGCACCTTCACAGAGATCACACTAATACAGCACCCAAGCAAAGCAGTGATCCTCCAGCCTGCCAAGTCTGAGCTTAAGTAGGGTTCCTAAGGCCATGGGCAGGGCTTTTGTCTGGAGACACCCAGCTGAGGCTGGTGAGCATCATAACACTTATTACTGCCCTGACACATTACAGGTGAGTTTGAGAAAAGGTACTTTGAATCTGACTTGCTGTCCCATGGCTTTTCCACAGGCTGCGTAAAAACCTCAAAGCATTGATAATTGTGCATCCTTCATGGTTCATCCGGACAGTGCTGGCTATATCCAGACCCTTCATCAGGTAAATATAGCATAGATATAATGTAAAATGTACTAAATATAGTACCCAAACTTGGCTGATTTTGGAGTGGAAGTTTAATCTCATGAATCCGATCTTAAGCTCACCTTTAACTACTGCTGGCCAAGATGGGGCTGTTCATCATTGTCCTACATTGTCCTACACCTCTCTGATACTTCGAAGGACAACTCTAGAGGTGGTTTTAGGAGATGCTATGGTGGTCTGGATCCAAACCAAAGTCTGTCCTAGTGGGGAGCACATAAAGATTTACTGGGAGGTGCAGGAATTGTGGTCCTTTTTCGCTCCTACAGATATTGAGAAGCAGGGGTCAAAGCAAAGTGAGGTACAGTAATGTGGCATCTCACCACAATTTTTAGCCACCAGCATATTGGCACTGGGAGGAGATGGGTATGCTCAGACTACAGAGGATACAGAGATGCAGAATTCTTTGTTTCTATCAGGAAAATTCTGACTTCCTATGGAGATAACATCCAAACCAGACCTCAAGCACACACTCTTTCTCTCTCTCTGCCAGCGTGAAGTTTATCAATAAGATCCAGTATGTCCACAGCCTGGAGGAACTGGAGCAACTTATCCCAATGGAGCACGTGCAGATTCCAGACTGCGTCTTACAGTGAGTATCAGAGGGACCCTGGGGCACACATAGCTATGAGGAGGTGCAGGACAAAAATCCCCTGTAGCAGGATATTGTGTTGAGTCAAAAACCATGTACTGGAAGCACAGAGCCTGGGGCAGACCTTGTCTTACTCATATACTGGTGCCAAGCAAGAGCCTGCACATTGTGCTAGTCTGCAGTTTCTGTCACCTTCAGAGCAAACATTGCATTTTACTAAAGGTGAACAGTCCTGACTGGGTAACATTTAAAGAATGTTTTCTGTTTGTTGCAGATATGAAGAAGAGAGGATCAAGGCCAGAAAAGAAAGGTAAAATTAATTTCAGGGGGGTGGGGGGTGGAGAGTGGCTTCATTTTATTGGGATGTTGTTGCTTTCTCTCATCATTATTTGTGTTATAACCAGTCAATTCTGTGTTCCTCCTACCGTGATATCCCACACAGCCTATATTTACTTTCTACTGATTTTCTCAAAATAAGCAAAATTGCAGTAGGGAGGAGAAGCTTGATTAAAAGGTTATTTATCCATAGAACTGTTCCTTTTAATCCCACAAGTGCACACATCCTGAACATGCACTGTATGTGCTAGCAGAGGTCATCAGAAATCACTCTGTGTATTAAAATGGCACATTTTCCCCCATGTAAACTGACCTTAAAGTGAGAACTAGCACTTATTTTAAAAGCCACTTCATTCTGCTAGAGTGGTATAAAGATGGCCATTAGTTTACAGTTTGTTTTGTTTCATTTTCTAGACCCATCCCATCACCGGTGATTTAGGTTAGAAGTGCTGGCTGTAAACAGTGATAACAGTCAGCTCTGCTAAAAGCAAAAGGCGATCACGGACAGAGGAAAGACGAGCTGGGTCAGCACAAGAGCGATGTGCTATAATGACACCTCCTCGTGCTGGTGAATTGAATGGGAGATGATAGTTTGGGAAGATTCGGTTCATTAGCTGCTGAAAAGCAAGTTGTCCAGCCTGAATTAGTCAGCTACCACCTCCCTGTAGGGCCAACAGAGGCATCCTGAGAGCCCTGGGATTACCAAGGCTGCACATCACAGGGACAAGAAGCTAACAGGCATTTCTGATCAGACCTGTAACCTCTGTCTGAGGTCCAGCTATCTATCTCCCTAGAAAGGCTTTAGATACTCTGCCCTTTTGCACTTCTCGCCTCCAGATGATAGATTTCAAATGTGATTTGTGTTTACAGGGCAGAAGAGAAACAAGACATGGCTGAGAAAGAAAGGTAACTACTCTTTTTTATTTATCCTGCACTTACAAAAGAGCTTAAACATTCTTTCGTGACGAGAATGGCCCTATTGCTCAGTAGCACCCCTGGGCAGCCAGGCTCTGCACTCTCAGGAGGTGTTTGGACCCCACAGGACATTTCTAAAGTGTCTGGGAACCGATAAAGCCTCTCTTCTCCCTACAGTGCCCTGTGCCATCACTTTTGTGATGTTACTGACCTTCACCTATGCGAATGGATTCCTGACACAGCTTTTTACCTCTGTAAAGCTAGTGAACCCATTTGGTCATGGACCAGAGCCAGAGGCACCAGGGAACGTTCTCCTGACATTCAGTTGTAGCATTTGCACGATGGTGCAATGCAGAATGCCAAATACTGCTGTCAGGCACATCCTGGGTGTGCGTAAAGGCAAGATACGAGGCTGTAACATTAGATGGGAAGGAAAATTCTAGGGAGGTTTGCAAGACAGTGTCAAAATCCTATGCCAGAATAATTTGGCCTGGTTTTGACTCTGCTTCAGCATGATCTAGCCTCTCTTTTTTTATTCTTTCTAACTAGCTCCTGAGGGGGAACAGTGCAATATATAGCAATATATAGCAAAAAAACAATAGCAATAATCTGCTATTATCTTCCTAGAGAAAAAGGAGCTTTGATCACAATTGCCATTGGATGAGTCTGAATTGTTCTGAGAAACAAATGGGACCTCAGGGCCAAAAGACAGGGTAGATAGTTTGTGGTGGAGATTCACTTACTGTTGTGCTGGTTCTCTTCCAAGCAGGCCTGTGCCCCCAGCAGAGGATCAAGAAACCAGGTTTGATTTGTACCTCACTCTTTGGTTTGTCTCTCTCTATGTGATAGATTTCATAGTGTTTGTAATCCACTAACAGGAAAGGCAAGACGGGGTTAGATCCGGGACCTCTTTAGCCACTCACCTAGCACAAGAGAGGCATCAGCCACTTTGCAGCAGTGGGGTAGGAAACTGGGAAGCTGTTGACAGCTTCACCCCACCACAGCATGGCTGCAGTTGCAACCACAAGCACTGCAGCTTGTCCCAAAGCACGGGCCGCTCACAACTGCAGCTGCTATGGAGTCACTGGAGAAAAACTGTCCCTCAATAAATTGGCATTTGCCGCATGGTAAAGGTGTGCACATGGGAAGTTACTGCTGAACTGCCTTTATCCTACAGTAACTTTTTCACAGTCCTGTGCACTCGGGAAAAGACCTTAGAAGAAGAAGCAGCAAGCCCGTTAAAGCTATGAATGACATTACCTTTGGCCCTGGTACACTTTTGTAGAGGATTACACCCAAACATACTCATATTTTTTGACATAGTGGGAATAACAAAATTTATACTACAATTTGCTTTCTAAAAATAACTTTGTCTTTCTGTTCCTTCCCAGCATGTCATGAATCAAAGTAGAGTGGAATGAATGGAGTAGAAGAATGACGCAGCCTGGCACTCACCCACGTAAATGACCTTTTGGTATAAGACCTTGCAGCCATCTTATTCCAAGTTCTGTAAGATCATGGAGCCTGCCTCCCCTGTCTCCAAGATGCAAAGTCCTTTAAACTTTTTGGAAACATTTTACTTTAACAAAAAAATCCACAAAACAAAACAAGCCAAGAATAGCACTTTTCAGGACAGGTTCCAGTGTGTTTCAATAACGGTCTGTGGAGAGCTATTAAGTAGTGCAAATAGATACCATGTTTCCTATTAGTAAATTAAGAGCATCCTGTAGTCCATTAGTCATCAGCCCAGAAAGAGATATATTTTTTGTTTAAATTATAACCCCTTCCCCTAACTTGCTGCTGGCCAGCACTGAGACATTTTGCTTTAAACTGCACATCCAGTTTCCTCTACACAGACATTACAACAGCGATTGCCCCAGGGAATAACTAATATAGGCAATGAAAAGAGTATATTTTCGTCCTTTCTATAGCCACTGCATGTTTCTTTCTGAAAATACCAAGTACCCACTGGTCTAGGCACCTCTTCCAGCCCTGACCGCCTTAGTTAATTCACTGCCAGTTCCTCTTATTAACTCACACTGAACCATTCCTATGAGTAAATGCCATGGCTTTTTCCTGATTTGTTCTGTCTCAGTTTGTAAGGCACTCTGATAACTTTGAAAGAGGGTCCCATGTGGCATGGCAGCCAACACAGAACCTTTTATGAGTATCTTCTCGTGTCAACACACACACCCCAAAAAGGTCTGGATTTAAGAAGGAGCCTTACAGACAGGAAAGTTTTTCACGCCTTGTCTTTGTATTGATTTCATGACATTGGACAATCATTCACTATTAATACCTCCTATTGCGGAGACAAGCTGCTAAATATTTGGAATTTCCTACTTGCTGCCCCTGGGTAATGAGGGTCTCATTTATAAACGTACCTGCCTGGGAAAAAGCCAGGTGGAGAATGCTGCAGATGTGGAGGCAGGAGACTGTGTCTGGGTTCAGCTTCTCAGTTAGCCAAGAGATGCAGGCATGATATTGAGACTCTGAAATGTGTAGTTTGGACTCATGAGGATTCTGTGAGCACAGGAGGGAAGAAAATTTAAGAAACAGCTATCTGGACAAAATAATTGGAAACTCACACCAAAGCCATCTTACATAAACTGTCTCGAATACAGCAGGTAAAACCCCTTGCAAACAACTGCAGATAAATTACCTCCATATTTCACCACTTAAGGAATATTTCAAGCCTGGCAACCCCAACCCATGGCTATTGGAAATTACCACTGCTTCACTCAGCTCTGAGATCCCCTGGAGGACAATTCTGGCAAAGCAAGATTTTCCTCAAGATAGGGATGTCTCCTCTGTATACATAAAGCTTCTCTTTTTTCCTTTCAGTAAATAAAACTACTACAGATGAGATCTGTATTTTCCTGAATGCTACAAAGGAATACCAAATATGCATTCTAACTTTACTTCTCATTTGATATATGTTTTTCTCGTGCACTTCAGTCATAGATGTACTTACCAAACAGACCTTTGCATGAAGAACAGAGCACTGCATCCACAGCATTAACCCTAGAAGCTGAAGAGGGTAAAAAACTCCATCTTCTGTCTCACCGGCACGTTAATAATAAGCACCAAGCAAGCATTGACCTCCACGGCTTTCTAGAAATTTCATTATGAGCCAGTTACTGACAAAGTGAATTCTACGCTACAAGGGAAAAACAGCACTTTGGGTTTTTTGGAGTTTAGGTTTTATGCCAAGTAACACCACCCTGCAAAAGGCATTCTGTCCTAAGCTTTCCAAACAGGCAGCAGACATCTGTTTTGAGACAGAAGCAGCAGTCAGAAATTTTCAAACATTAATATGTTAACCTGATCTGCAAAGCTGGGTGTCCTTTTTCACACATGGTCTGCCAGATGGACTAAACGAACCCACTGAAATTAAGAAAGGACTCTTCTGATTAAATTAATTTTAGCTCATACTATAAGCAATCACAAATCTCCTTGTAGTATAACAGTATGCAAATTCACTATCTCCCACTGATAATAATTAAACCTAGATTTTCGTTTTTTCCTTTTGAGACCATTTTTATGCATTTAGATTAAAAAATCATCTGCTATGCTTTCCACAAAAGAATGCAATTTCAGTTGGACACTGAAAGGGAAGTTTACAATTCTATATTGTTTATATGTTTATAAACATATTGTTATGTTTAATAATGTTTAAAAGTACAAGTCTAGAAACCTTATATACATCTGTAGTTAGGCTTTTGCATCAGTGAAAAATGCTCACAACATCATGGAAAATACTGCTGTTATGGAATACATGGATGTGGAAGATAAGAAAGCTCGATCATGTTTAGTCTTGGGACCTGAAGAAATAGACTGCTTCCTGATCCTCAGCAGTAACCATACCAGAAGAATGTGGGTTTTGGTTGCTTTGTTGTTTTGGGTTTTTTTTTTAAAAAAAAGACACTGTGTCTACATTTTCAGAAAAACTACAGAATGAGCAAACATGAAGATGAAACTTCATTTTTTTTTTCAGGTAATTCCTTCAGAGCAAGGTTAAAAGTTCATCTGTGAAAAGGACAGATTACCAGTTTCATTTCAAGACGTGAAGGAAGTTGGTTGTTTGAATACAAAAGTCAATTTGTAACTTCTTTGAAACAATTTTTCAAAAAGTGCACTTTCTGATAGAGCACTCTAAGTAGTATGCACTATATTTTAATTTTTAACAAAATTTTGTGAGCGTATAAATTTTATGTTCCTGGATAGGTGGATGTCTATATGTCTTTTCAACGTAGAAAAGAACCTGCAACCCATGATGGATAAACTATTGCTAAACGTAAGAAGTGCATTTTTATAGCAACAAAAAAAACAAGTATCGTTAACTTCTTTCAAACAGCGATGTTAGATGCTACTTGAAACCAAAGTAGCTACAAATTCTTTGGCAGAAACACAAAACCAATCAAGTTGGCAGTGTCCCTTTACCAAATAGCAACATATCTAAGTTTGATGTTGATAGACCGGCGCAGGCTTCAAACAAAATCAGATCTACATGCTATAATAAACACACCACCAAATATGCTGCATTCATCTTTAGAAGGTCATTACAAATTTGGATCCACCTCCCAGTGGAGGCGAGAGAGTGACAGTGACTCTCAAAGGACAGCTGATGAAAGTTTCGGCAACTGCAGGCAGACGATATAATTGCATTGGTGGGGAGTTGTCAACCAGTGGCTTAAACCCAAGGACTTACCTTACACAAAAGTCAAGCAGTGACAATAGACCAAACAGAAACCTGAGGTGACTGAAGCCATTTTACAAATTTCTTTGCCAGTTCCTTAAAAAGAGCTGCTCTCAAAGCCCATTTGTGAAAGGGTTTACCGACCAAGCTCTACATTTCCACTGGAGACGCAATTCATAAGAGAAATATACTATACCAGCAAAAAAACCCCATTACTAGTAAAAGTGCATTTACATTAGGACTTTTGCCAGTATATACACGTGTGTTTAAAAAATAAAATTAAATAAACTACATCCTTTTAGCAATACTGCTATACTGGTCAATGTTCCAAATGTATACCAGGTCTTGCTTCTGCCTCATAAAAACATCTCCAAAGGATAAATATTTTGACTTATGAAGGTACTGTATTATATCAAACAGCAGGTCTTATCAACATTTTTCTGGTCTTGGATTCTACGTTTCATGAGATTTTCTAATGGTGAATCCATGGATAGCCACACTTTAGCTGCAGAAATATTTATTTTACGCCCATGTTAGCATACTCACAAAAATCATGGTATTCTTACTCACAGTCTAATTAATGGCTGAATTTCAAATTTCACCCAGCACCAGCCTACAAACTGAAAAATCAGATCCCTTCCTGTACAGTTGATGACGAACTAGGAAATACCTTCCCATCTCTTTAAGGTAGTCACAGGCCTTGACCTAGCCTTCGGAAATGCAGGCATTTGTCACTGCATTTTGCAGCAACCATCATATTTATACAGTTAAACTACTTTGTTTTGGCACATACAGGAATCATCCAGATTTGGGACTGTCCAGTAATTTTCATTTTGATTCATAAGGAAGACACAGGAAATAAAACTGAGATGCTGCTGCACATTCAAGTTGGATAATTAATACAACTTCTTCTGTACAGTACTGTGTAAATGTGAGTGGATATTTAGAGCATACCTCACTGCAATTTTTCCATCTATTTTTTCCAAAGATTATTTGCTTACAGGTGTGCATACACATGTATGAGAAAGCCTAAGTGGTAGAGGTTTTAAAAGCAACACATCTTCAATTTTACATATCTAGGAATGAAAAAACAGAAGAGTTAATGAAATGCTGGTGGCAATAGGCTCGGATTGGCCTGACAGCAGGTGAAATGTAAAGGAAAAATTGCTATAAATA